AGAGAGAGAGAGAGAGAGAGAGAGAGAGGAGAAGGGAAGGTGTTGTTGGGTTGGCAGTAGAAGGATTGAACAAGGCATCATCAGAACTTAGAATCTATTCCTTGATCTTACTTTCTTCTCTTTCGTTCAGATAACTACAACCTCATCCAAGAATTCCAGAATCATTTGAGTCACTCCACACTTGTTCACAAAAATACAATCTAAGTTGACGTAAAGGACATATCTTCTTTAGAAGCCTGTGGGACTTTTTGACTAAAACCTGCCACTAAGCAATACCCATTTATCTTATGTTGGATTTGTGAATCTAGCTAAAGTGAGCACCACTGGATGAGGATTTAATTAAATATATGTAATTTACTATTACTTCATAAGATTTTAAATATTGATTAGATCAAGATATATCGATCGATCGATATTTACGGATTCGATTGAGTTTTATATCTAGAGAGAAAACTCAATATCGATGTATATAGTTTCTTTTTTTTTACTAAAATTGAAATCAGATCAATATATACTGAATAGAATTCACTTTAAATATATATTATTGAAATAAAATATGGAATGCTTCAATATTATTTTTGGGGTTATTAATGTGCAATAAGTTCAGCATGATCTGTAATATACTAAAATCTATTTCATGTCAAAATGATTTAATGATTTCCTTGGAAGTACAATTTTAATGAATTATAGACAATATGAAAATAATGTAAGATCATAAACAGAACTATAAATAAATAAATAAATTTATTGCTCATTTATATTTAAAAAATTATCATCATTATATAAGAGTATATTTTATCGATCATATGTATTCGACAAACTCATTAATTTTCTAAAAGATATTATTTGAATATCAACATTAACTATTACTTGTAATCTTTTACTTCAGTGATTATTTGATTGGTGGATACTTCCTTTCATGTCATTTAAAACTAATTTTTCTTGGAATATAATGCCGCCAAATTCCAGAGAAGTCATCACATTGCGTGATAACTCTTTATATCATCTACATTTTTATTTTTCCATATATATATATATATGATTATTATTGTTGTAAAATAGTCGGTTCTGGTGATCCCACGGAACAGTTTAAGGGCGCGGGCGCCGAGACGATGGCCATGCGCTCCTGCAGGTGAAACTTGGTCTGTTTCGCGATGAACGCCTCCACCGCGCGCCGGAACTCCTCCGCATCCGCCGGAATCTCCTCCTCCGTCACCTGCGTCTTGTCGCCCCGGAGCTCGGGTGGCGCCCCCCTGCGAGGATCCACCCTGTCCGACTGGCTCCGCTGGTCTGCGCGCATCTCCACGCACACCGCCTTGTCCTCGAACACCACCGCCACCGGTGGCGGCGGGAGGGGGCAGGAGAGCCGGCTGCCGCGGGTCTCGAGGAACTCCTCGTAGAAATCGCCGGAGGAGGAGTTGGGAGAGGCGGGAAATTTCCGGCCGGAGTCGGCGAGGAGGAGTAGAACGATGGCGTTGGCGAGGAGGAAGACGAAGCGGGAGCTGAGGAGGACGGAGGCGAGGTGGCGGAGGAAACCGGCGGGGATGCGGGCGGAGGACCAGGAGAGGAGGAAGAGAGCAGCGGAGGCCTCGAGGCAGCGGAGCAGCGTTCCGATCCTTTGGAGCCGGCGGTACCGCCGCATCGCCCTCCTTTTCGCCGCTTGGATCGCGTCCATTTCCGGGATCTGACGGTCCAAAACAAATCACCGGGTGACGAATTTTAAAGCACCGGATGACGAAACGGAGACTCCGTAACTGGGAACAGAAATGAGTTCTTGGGAAGTCGGAGGCCGATTGGGTTTTATAGAGGTGGCATCGCCACTTTTGCTTCTTATAATATATATATATATATATATATATATATATATATATATATATATATATATATATATATATATATATTTAAAGCATCAATTGTTGGTGGACTGCATGTTGTGTTTCTTAGCAAGCGAAAAATCCATGCTAAGATTCAACAATATGAGTTAAATTTCAACAAAAACAATGAATAAAAAGCACAGAATGACATCTTTTATTATCGAAGGTGATTTTTTTATGATCATTGGCTAATTTATGGACTAATTATGTTTTCCTTTTTTGCATGTGATCGTGGCCAGGAAACAGCTGATATATAATTTGGTTGATCCTTGTGCTGTCATTCATGAGTTGAGCAATATAAGCTAAATCTATAACGCAAATGAGAATAGACAAAGAATTTAAACTCAATGAGTCACCACCGGATCAAACACTGAAGACAGTACAGTCACTATCAAAACAGAATCGACAAGGCATGTTCTTCCTCAAAGCGGAAGGGTTGGGAACTCGCGGCTGCCAATTCAAGCACTACGATTCTAATGGAGACAGCAGCACACATGGAAAGCCAAACGCCACTGCAGGGCGGCCATGTCCAGGTACAACTTTTGGGAGATCGGCTGCGGAAAGAAAATGATATGATTGAAAACATGTATATTTCATCCACAAAAGTGAAGTTAGATTAGGTAAAGACTCATCTAAATAAAGGCATTCATCGATCCGCAAATATAAAATGTACCAATTAAAGTTCTATTCTGAAACATCAATTCTGATAAAACCCTCCCTCTCACTTGATTTCCCGGATCGATCTATCCGAGATTATAAAATCTTATCAAGCTTAAACATATCACATGTGTGTGTGTCTATATATCATGCAGTGAGGTGGTCTCTGATACCAAGTGTTTGCATCGTGCTTGGCTCCTTGGAATCAGATTCCCTGGCTTTCCTACTTTACAAACCCACTTCTTTCAAGAATCTGGCAACTACAAGGGGATGGCCATTAGCTCCAGGGTGATAGAGCCCTAAAACCTAGCCTTTATCTGTTGCTGCTGTAGTGGTTTCAAAAAGGCAATGAGATGAATGGAGAGAGAGGAAAAAAGAAGCAAGTTCTTCTGCAGCTGGATTCCCAGCAACCACTGCACAAACTTTTGGTTTTCTTTCTTGTGATCAAACATGATATCTAGCAAAGCCTCTAAATCATGCATGCCCAGTTTTCTTCTATCTAGTCATATGCAAGTGCACTTGAAGCTATACATGCTTTACCAGGAAATTAACAAGGTTAAAGCTGAATCTAAGGGAAGCAACCATGAGTTCATTGATGAGCTAGAAATAAATTCTCAACTATCTCATGCAGACCATAGAATCACTACCCATGAGCATGATACACACACACACACACACACACACTCTTTCATGTACTGTAGCATTTCTAGAGACATCAACGGTTAAATCTCATACCAGTCAGGAAATTAAGCATAATTCGCTTTAATACTCTAGTAACTAATCAATTTTTGTATCATTTTGATATCTAAAGTTAGGATGCTGCACTTGTGGAATAGATATTTGAAATGTCATCAATCTAGAAAGAAGATTTTACTGTTGTTTTAGCATGCAGTGATACAGTTGCTTCTTTAGTGACGCAGAGAAAACAATATGAAACCTTGTGGAGAAGAGCAGAACCTGCTTTCCTATAAGAATAGTAGTAGTATGTGTTACACTTGTAAGAGTGTAATTTAACTTGTGACTTGAATTCAGAAATTGTTTGCAGCAAGAGAAATTGTATACAGGGAAAGTCAGGATTGATCTTAATTTGCAAGAAGTGTGCTGTTAAAGAGAGAAACCTGTTGTTTTAGGTAATCTAGTTGGTGTTTGAAAGGAGCAGAGAAGCAGTAAACCAAAAAACACACATTAGTACGTGATGTAATTTTGTGAATGCTAAGGTTATACTATTTCTGAAACAAAAAGAACTGTTTAGACTATCAAAATATTATATCAAAGCAACTGGAAGTAACTTACTAATGTTTGCTAAGGTTGATAAATGCTACCGGAGTTGTTTTGGTCTTCTCAGATAAAAGTTTAGTAGATGCCAGTAGTAGATCGAAGGTCTGGAGTGCCGATAACATTTGTCTCCCTTTGAAAGATGCTTCCCTGTCCAACAAGACAAAGTACATTGAAGATGTCCCTGGACAACAAAGTAGTTACTCAATGAAGCTATCAAGCTCAGGACTAGTATTACTGATACCATGTTCCAGTTTCAGTAAGCATATTGCAATTTTCTATCTTCATGGGCAATTCTCTTTTCCTTCTGGTAGTATCATCTGAGAAGCAGTAGTAGTTCCTGCATGTTATTAATCACTAAGTTTCACTCTTGCTAAAGTTTCATGCAAGGCTACACGACACTGCATGGAAGGAATTCGTTTACTAATTTAAAAAAAAGGTTTACAAAATTTATTACAACACACACTCTCCCTCTGCATGAACAATGCGTTAAGATTCATATATATAATTGTGTGTGTGTTGAGTAAAAAAACTGGAGATGTAAAAGAAAGCAATATAAAGCTACAAGCATTGCTCTTGCAGTATATAATGGTCAACACAAAAACTTTTCATAGGTTCAGATTTCAATTTCTTGATTGCATGTGTGTGCAGGCATATATATTAATAAAAGTCTGAAAGAAAGCAAGACGAAGAAAGCTACAATGAACTCACCGAAATTGGAGATGTTAAGAGTGATCAGAGCAGCATTCACTCTACAGAAAATGGAAGCTTCCATCTGCTGGCCTCCTCAGGCTGAAACCTTCAGATGAACAAAGAAGTGTGTGGAAGTCTAATAGCCTGAAAAAAGGAAAAATCGAATAGACTGTTGTCTCAGTGGTGAGAGCAACTTCTTATTGGCGACGCCAAGCAACATCAACATGAGGGATTGACGACTCTCAGACACAGCATCCTGCCATTTTCTCCTCTATCAATGGATTCAAGAATCTCCTCAGGTGGCTGCTCGATCAGGTTGCATGCCATGCAGATGAGGGAGATATGATCATAACTGGTAGAAAGCTTGCAACACAACAAAGATCATTGCCACTATGTTTGTCACCATGCCATGTTGCCATCATACTTTGACGTTGTCAAGATGAAAAGATGATCTCAATTCTCAAATGATTTAGCCCGTGGAGGAATGCCTAGCTAATCTTACTGTCACAAATCACTTTGTGACGTGAAGCACCCCTGCTTGGTGTTTATCCTAAGATCAGAACAAGTCTAGTATTTTAGAGAGTGCACTTGCACAAATTTCACATCCTCAAATGCCAAGAATGCTCAGTCGCTATAATCATTACAAAACTGATGTTTTCTTTCCAAAACTTCAATGCATTATTTCTAGACAATAATTGAAAGATTGAGAGGCAAATGCTATAGTGTACATTACAACTGCTATCTTTCTTCTGAGTTGAATCTGTTCCAAGCTTCCTGCATCAAGTTTCGTCAGAGTTAAAACCAAATCTAACCAGATATAAGAAAACACAATCTTGAACATAAGTGCTGTGACAGTGGGATAGACAGTGGAGTGTGATTCACTAGGTCATGCATACAGCTTGGATTGGCTTGTTAAGACTCTCAGACACAAGAATGTAAGTCGAGCTTAAGTATACTGGTACTTAACTAATGAGAGCAAAGAATGAAGAGTTGGATGGGCAAGCACTAAAAGCTTATGCAAATTATACATATAAATTTATACAAAGGGCTTGGAATCCATATGCAGCAAAAGAAGTGGTGAAATTTCCTTTATGATTTCAAACTTCATGTGATGATGGTTCAAGGTCGATAATCACAAACTATAGCAAGAAACTAACATCATGAAGACTACCTATTTGCTTCAAGTTATGTATGCATGAAACAGTACTATTTACACCAAATACATCTATTAAGCAAGTAGGAATAAACATTTGACAATCATTAGGAAAGAATATTGCTCACGGGCAACCAGCAAGCCTGAATAAAGAATTTTAACAAGACAATGCTAACACCAATAACAAATTGACAAAATTGTGAACATGGTGTCATTAAGAACTAATTCACATTTTTTACAGATTGATGACTGTTTAACCTTTTCAAAATTGTAAGCTTTAGAAATATCAAATGCTGGCCAAAGCCAAAAGCAGAGGTATGATATAAATCATTAGTGGTTAAATACACAGTAAAATGAATTAGGACAGTGACAATTCATGATGAATAAACCCACATTTGATCCTCAATTGACATAGGATATGAACTTGATCAAGAGGATTTAATCTGCTGCTCTAGAACAAACTATCATAGAATCTCAAAAGCTGGAACAGGGTTAAACAGATAATAGATATTACATTGACACGGAGACATCTTTATAATAAAAGCACAAATTCAAGGACATTACTCTATTTACCAAGGAAAATAACTTTTGAATGAGAGCATGTTGTTTACTTTCTTCGACAGTACAATGCAACATCAGAATTTACATTGTTAAGGAAGCTTACTAAACATTTCTGCACTTACGTAGTGACATTGAGAAGATCTCATATAAGTGGGTTTTGTATAATAAAAAAAAGACATATACTGAGCTACAAATGACTTTAAATGTACCACTCACCTTCCCCCTCCTGGCCTGTACTACCATACTTCTCTAATGTTACATCTCAAACCTTATGAAATGCATATTGCTAATCATGGATCCCTCAGAAAAAAATGTTCAAGAAAAAGGCTCAAGGGGGGTGGGTCAAATAGCATAAAAAATTATGTCCCCCAAAAAGTAAGTATATATTTTAATTATATCATAACAAGCACAGATCACTGGAAGTTTCAAAAGCATTCATGAATCCAACATATGTAGCAGGAACCACTATTATCACTTTCCAAATACAAAATGGTTTACCAGCTAGAAAATGAGTGGAACTAGTGCCACCAAAACAAAATTGATTTTCTTGTTCCCTTAAATCGATCCTAGAAGTTCAGCAAATAGAAAAACAGCTTTGATTACTAAAGACTTTGTAAAAGCTTTCATCCATTTAAAGTTGTCCATCTTATCAAGAAAGTCAATAAAGTTAACCAGTCACCTTAAGGAGATCGAAAACTTTCTCACAAATGTACTTCTGTTGAATGCTGGCCCCCCTTTGCTGTAACTTATCTGGATGAACACAGAGAGTAGCCCTCCTGTAAGCTTTCTTTACTGCAGAAGATGTGATAACATCTGTCAGTTGTATAGGCTGCCAACCACTCTCAGGGCCAAGGATCTGCAAATGGAAAACATCAAGTAAAACATTTTGAGAATATTTTTTTAGTCAAGACATGCTTGCTACCTGTAGTTTCACTATTTAATTATGTAAAGCAAGGTCCGCAATACTGAATGATACCGCCCGTACCGGGTGGTACGTACCGGTCCGTCAACAAACCAGTACACGGACCGCCAGCTACTAAGCGGTAGCATCGATTGAGGCGTTATCGTCGTCGATCGAGGCGTTATCATTGACGGTGACCGAGGGAGAAGAAAGAAGAGGGAGAAGGGGAAGAAAGAAATAGGAGAAAACGGGAGAACCTGGATATTGCCGCTCTCCTCCTCGTCTGTCGACGACTTCTCATCCGTGCACGGGAGAAGAGGCATCGACGTCGCGGGGTGAAGAGAGGCGGAGATTTTTTTTTCTTCTCTTCTCGGGCGATGTCGCTTGCATTTTTTTTTTTATCTGCGACGTTGTCTTGGCAACGTCGCCCGAGAAGGGAGGCGACGCCACAAATTTTTTTTTTTATCTGCAATGTCGCTCGGGAAGAGAGGCGATGTCGCCTTGCATAAAGGTAAACCGAGCGGTTTACCTATATATATATACCAAGCGGTATACCGAAATATACCACTCGGTATATGATACCATACCGAATAAGTCTCGAAATTTTGGTACGATACGTAATTTCAATCCTTGATGTAAAGTATCAGTATGCCAAGAAAACTTTGTGATAGTAGAAGCTAAGATTTTTGTGTAAAATACCAGTGATAGTAGAAGCTAGTCAGCATTATATTTTAAGAGAAATACAAGACAACTTATGTTACTAAATACATTATTCAGGCATTGCATGACTAAGATTTTTATCAAGCAACATAGACATTAGTATATAACACAAAATCATTTGAAGAAAAATCAGCAAGAATTTCCTATTGATATCAAAAGAGTCCTTCGTTGTTGAAATTTGAGAACACCAACTGTCAAGTGAGTTAGAGAATGCCTAACATGGGCACTTTCCAATCATTCTTTCACTTCCAAGTAAACCAGACCTAATATCTGTTAAAGAAATTTAACCACTCAATAATAATTTAACCCAAAAAACTGAGTAATAATGACATTCTTCAGCTTAAACATTTTAAACATAAAAAATCAGTTAATTCTGTGTAAAAGGTCTGAAATTACACACTTCAGCTTAACACATTCCAATTTTCAAGAGCATATACAAAAGCGACATCAGAGTTAGGATTTCAGTACCCATTACCCAACATCAAAGAAGATAGAGTCACCTAAGGTACTTATAAATGGTATCAAAATCACTTCTTTAAAATCCATCTGAAGAAACATCAGAAGCAATCAAACTTCTCAGACCAATTGATATGGATCATTTATCCAAATATAAGTTTACCTTGATATAGAATTTTAGTGCATCAATATACCACAATAGCATAGCCTAGCCATTTAACAAACCAAAACTTCCAACTTGTCTATTCGATCTGAGTCCCTAGGATTTTTCAGAAATAGTGAAGAAATAAATTTGTGTTATAAAAAAAAATTTAGTAAAGTCACCTTTTTCTTTCCACAAAAGAGCAACTGGCAGAGAACATTGGCAAATAAAATTGTTTAAACAACAATATTAAAATAAAAACTGGAAACCAAAATCTATACATACATATTGCAGTGTTGATAGCAGTGCACGCAAATTTCCTTCTTTTCCATTCGACCATCTCTTAATGTCACCATCCAGGTACTCTGCCAACCTCTACTACCACAGTTTTATTGAGATTGGTCATCTACAGAAAGAACATATCAAATTGTTGCTACATTTTGTTAATTTTCAAAAAGCTTACATTTTTCTCAGCTTGCTCTCTTTGTGCAAGAACATCCCGCATGTTTTTTTCTGCAAGAGCTTTGGCCTGTGGACCACAAAGCAAATTATTTGAGACTGACAATCTAAATCCCAAATCCAATTTTGCCCTACAGAAAACAGAAGTTATGTGATAGAAAGTGGACATACAGCACGTTCAGCTATTCTCTGATGCCTCTCTAGTCTAGCTTTACACCTTAAAGCTGATTCACCTTCATTTGAATTAAATCAATTATCAGAATAACCCCAAGTTACAAGAAAAGTAAATATATAGAGTTTCAACAGAACTGTAGAAGCTTAAAATTATAAACTGATGGCACATGGCAAAAACAAAAAAATGGTTCACCAAAATTACTACTCTGTTGATAATTAGAATCTGAATTTGCTTGGTAACTGTTCAAAGAACTAGTACTTTGAAATTGTGCATCAAGTGGGCCATCCTGTATGTCACACCACAACTCATTTAGTTAATTATCCAAGAGATAAATAAGAAGGCAAAAGAGGAAAAGCTGAATTTTGAATTAGCAAAAAGAAAACCTCTACCTTATCTCTGGTATTTGAACACTCTTCCGTCACATTTTCTTTCCTTGTTGTGTCTCTAGAAGTAGCATTGTATCTCTCAGCATGCTCTCTGGCATCTGCAGCAACTTTTACAGCAAGTGCTCTTTCTATAGCACGCTCACGAGCTTCTGCAGTGGCCCGTTCAACTGCAGCACGCTCAGCCCTTAACCTAGCATCTCTAGAAGCCTTCTCAGTTAATGATTTGTCCAGAGCATCACAAGAGGTCTTCTTTGCCTTTTCTTGGGCTTCCTTTAGTGCTCTTTGCCGAGCCTCAGAAGTAATCCTCTCTACAGCCATCCTTTCTGCCCTTTCTCTGGCTTCAGTAAATGCCCTTTCATGTGCTTCATGGATTGCTCTTTCCTCGGCAAGTCGGTCCTTTTCTCTTCCTCTCTCCCACTCGTTTGCTTCTTCTAATAACCTTGCCCTCTCCTCTTCTTCTAATTTCCTTTCCCTCTTTTTTGCTTCTTCTAATAACCGTGCTCGTTCCTCTTCTTCTTTCCTATCTCTCTCCTTTGCTTCCTCTAATGACCTTACTCGTGCCATTTCTACTTTCATTTCCCTCATTATTGCTTCTTTGAACAACTTTGCTTGCTCCTCTTCTTCTTTCATTATACTATCTTTTCCTTTTTCTAACAACTTTGCTAGCTCCTCTTCTTCCATTTGCCATTCAATCTCTTTTGCTTCTTCTGATAACCTTGCTCGTTCTTTTTCTTCTTTCAATTTTCTTTCCCTCTCATTGGCTTCTTCTAGTAACCTTCCTTGCTTTTTCTCTTCTTCCAATTTTGTTACCCTGTCTTTTGTTTCTTCCCATAATCTTGTTCTCTCTTCCTCTACTAATTTTTCTTCTCTCTCAATTGCTTCTCGCAATAACCTTGTTTTCTCTTCCTCTTGTTCTTGAATTCTTTCCTTCTCTTTTTCTTTTAAATTTCTTGATGGTTTCTTTATCTGTACTCCTTTTTTCTCCATTAATTCTTTTTCTTTTTGTTCGGTTTTCTTAGTATCCAAAATAATCTTTTGAGAAGCCACAGGAAGTCTATCAGTTGCAATTAGAGATGAATATGATAAGTTACCTTCATTTTCCGATAAATTAGATGGCTGGGCATTCAAAGCCATGTGAAGAGGCCTGTTGCAGATAATTGGAATTGTATTTATGGAGAATATTTTATCCATAAAATGAGGCTCAACTTGAATTTCTATAATACCTTCATTTCCACAAACTTGAAAACCTCTTTCATATTTATTCTGTCCCTCAAAGTTTTCCAGGTTGTATGGCTCTGGGGTTGCATCTTTTTTCTTGTCCCTTTGCTGCAGTTCAAGCTGAGTTTCTTTTGGATTATTTCCATCATAATTTAGCCAGAAGGCAGCTTTTGTTGCTTTGATCAGCTTCTCTTGGTCTTCAAGTGTTGTTGTTCTTCCTGATGTTTTCCATTTCTTCAGAACCTCTTCAAGTTCATCAGCTTCTTTATCTTCTTTAAATCTTATTTCATTTTCTGCAGATAAGCATGTCTGCTGTTTCATATTTAGTTCCTCTCGTCTTTCCTGCTCATGCACTACCATCATTCCTTCAGATCGATTTACATTCTCGGCATCACATTGCTTTCCTTCTCTCCTTGTCTTTTCAGAATCTGTGCACTTAGAAGCTGCTACTCTTCCCTCCCCTTTTGATACACATGATACATAAGGCACTTCAATATCCATTTCTTCTTGCACAACAGTGACACTGGCCATGTTAAACTTATCTTCACCCTTACCAGGTACAGGAGCTATGTTAGTGATGTCAATTTCCTTTGAATAGTTTTGATCTTGAGGTTTAGCAGCTCCTGACTTCCCTAAAGCAGATTTCAGTTTGCTGTTTTCTTCTTTGTCAACATGAGTATAGTGAAGCTTACAGTAATATGAAGGTTCCATTTTCTTTTCACTCCTTGCAGATGAAAGAGTCTCTTCACCTGCACATGGTGCTTTTGTTACCTCTTCTTGTATGTGGAGTTTGTGAACCTCTCCTGGCTTCTCAACTTCCTCCGTATGAGACACATGAGCTTCTAAGTTAGAATTGTCTTCATGTACACAAACCACAGGTGCTGCCTTATCTTTCTGCAAGTTCCTGTTGCTTTCAGTTTGACAAGCCAGTGTATCATTTGTGCTCTCATTTTGTTTGATCTCACCGATCATTGTAATTATTTTTGTTTTCCTCGTAAAATCTTTCCTCTCAGATACCTCTTCAATCAGTATGTGATTCTCACTGCTCACCAGCTCATTGTAATTGCCTGCTGATCTATTGAGCAATTCAGATGATTTCAAGTCATTTACTTGCCTTGCCTTTCCTTCCTCTTCGGTAAATTTAACTTTTTCCTTCTTTTCATCACATGGAGTCAGTTTGGCAGTACTTGTAACTTCCTGTCTTCTCTCTGAAGCAACTAGCATTTCATCAAAATCTTCACGCCTCGGTGACGCTTGACACAGTTTTTGTTCTTTATATTTCATGCTTTCAAGGTAACCTAGCTTCCTGCTGTTCCGAAGGATACCATGTTTTCTTTCCATCAACTGTTTTGCCCTTTTTAGTTTAGCTTGAGCAAGTTCCATTGCTTCTTTTACAGCAGCAACAGAAGCTGCAGCAGCTGAACTAATATCGACCTGCACATCAGTGAAGCTAGGAGAGTTGTCCTTGACAACCTCTTGACGCACATGGAAGTCTTTTTCTTTAGGAATTGATTTTAGGAAGCTTACTTCATCCAGACCAAATTTTGAACTTGACGACAACCTTTGTTTGGAGAGTTCTTGCTTATCATATAACCTAGGAGATGGCCTTGATGGTGGTGGCACTCTCAATGGTTGTGTCTGAAGACTGAATTCAGATGCAGTAAAAAACACAGTATCAGAGGGTGGTACATTCCCATTTGATATGGAATGACTAAAAGAGTGTGAATGATGACTTGCATTTGCATGCCCATTATCAGAAACAGGATATCTATTGGTATTCTTCTGATCTGCTCTCAAGTAATTTTCTGAACTCTTTGAAATATTGCCAGAAGAGGCACTTAAAACTTTATTTTGGTCTTTCCTGTTATCTACTCCTTCATTTAACATGTTTCGAGGGCCGTCACCTCCAATAGTCTGGAAGGGGGTGTCTGTGTCAACAACAAAGCTAAATGCAGGAATGGCATGAAGTTGAGTTATATGTGTTTTTCCACTCATTGCACCCTCTTTACTTCCTTGGCTACTCTTGTTATATGACACATTGAATTGTGTGGAACAAATATCTGAAGGAGTGGAATTTGGTGAGGACCTATCACCTTCTTGACAAGTCATACGACCCCCATGTGACTGTTCTGGGGTGACTTTCGGTTCTCTCGTCATGTGCTGGCTGCATGTTGCTTCCTCTCTAGTCCTTTTGATGAATGAAAGAAAGACAAAAACTAATTAATGATCATATCTGGGTACCTTTTAGGACAAAGATATTTATACAAATAATTATACTTGCCAATAAAAAATTTTATATCCTATTCAATAAAATTAAATCATAGAAAGAGATAAAAGAGACTGAATGCATATGAGCAAAATAGTTGATCATCTGTATCCAACATTTCCTAAAAAATACTTTCCCAGATAAAATTCCCCATGGAGATCAAATCATGATGAAACTTCCTGTGTAATTTTAAGTCCACCTTGAGGCAGTCAAAAGAATTTCCTAAGGTCACCAGAATAGATGCAAATAGATTAGAAAAAGAAAGGACTTCCAGGTAATGCGAAACTCGGAGACAATCTTAATGTTGTTTGACTCCTGACTTCGAATGCACTAGAAGGGTTTTTTCCAGACGTCCATGACAACATACCTATTCAACCCAATATCCTTTATCATAAAGCATTTTATAGGATTACAATGGCAATTTTCTTTACCAAAATAAACAGAAAAGAGATTCAAACAATGGATTTACAATTGTCAACAGAGAAAAAATTATCTGTAAATCCTTCAGCAATCATGAACACAAGGGGAAACAATGGAACATGCATATATGCGACCTGATATTTGACGTACTTTAAGATAATAGTAAGGTAATATCATCATCATGTTACCAACAATGCAAAAACAGACGAGTGTTCTTGGAAGACCATAGTAACAGCTGGTTGGCAAACTCCAAATAGTCCTCTACTTCCCTTAGTAGGCAAAGAACAATTTCATTTCTGAAGAACCATGTTTTTTTTTGTCTCTCTAACAGCTCATTTCAAGAGAAGTAGACATGAAGCCTTTGAAGGTGCTAAAGCTAATTATCCATTAGGAGTGCAAATTAAGCTGGAAGCACAAACATAGAGAAGAATAAGCTCAACCACTAGTGGGAACAAGAGTCAGTAGATCGCTAGGAGAGAAGCATATAAAGATTAGCATTCAAACAAGACGGGGAAAGGAGAGCTCTTTCAAACCCACACCTCCCTTTCGAAGAACAAGTCTCCTCCAGCTTAGGCGCCGCAAAGAGCTCATCGTGCAGAGCGGCGGACTCTCCAGAGTCTACACCCCCGAACACATCGGAGTAGTCGAAGCCGGCGCCCCGGGTCCGGACAGGGGCAGCAGCATCGAAGCCGTCCAGAGCCGGCGGTAGATCGAGAAACGGAATGGAGATCGAACCAGCGTGGTCGGCAAAGATCTCGGCGTAGTCGCCCAGGCGATCAGCGAATGGGGCACCACGCCTGGACCGATCGCCGAGGACGTCGGCGTCGGCGGACTGCTCGGAGCTGCCGCCGCTTCGGCTCCGAGCGTCCTCCATAGGGACGGAGACAGAGGAGGGAGGGCTTGGATTCAAGGCTTCGTTTCAGTCGTCTTTTTCTCTTCTACTATCCGTCGACTGAGGATGACCGGCGGAAAGAAAAGGTAAACTCGCACATATATTTATATATATCCCTCATAATTAATTATTTTTTATTGTCCTTCTCGCTGTGTACGTAACGTGTGTATGTATTTTTGTAATTATCTCCCTCATAGATTATTATTTGACTTATTGCTGAAAGAAATTTCAATCGGTGTTATTACTAATTATAAACTCATAAGATGTCTTAAAAAAAAAAAGGTATTTTTATTTTATATCATGAATTTAAATACATTTTAATTTGAATTTGATATTTAGAGAGCTTAACAATTAAGTGTAGTTTTCTTTTGGCCATAGGCTGGATCTTTCTAATATTTTCACTCCATATAGATATAATATTAAGATGGATTATTTAGTCGAAAAAATCCTTATTTTATATTTTTAACAATAAGCACTCCTTTTAATAATTTTATATTATTATTTTAAATATTTGACAATAATGTAGACATTATTGGTGTCCTTTCCGCTTTTAATAACACTTGTCTTTTAGTTTTCTTTGTCAATGTCACAGGCCAATCTGGTCTTAGTATGAGCTGTTCAATTCTGCTTTGAACAGTTGGTTTTGTAAAAGTAAAATTTTCTATTTATTTAAAAAATATAATATTATATTTAGTAAAGTTTATTTTTTTTTAAAAAAAAATATAAAATTAGACAAAATAAAATAGCTACAGGAGGACTTATTTACTATCGATATATGCAATTTTATCTTAAAAAAGAGTTTAGGGGTATTAAGCCTTTACCGTCGATTAGATATCCAAAACAAACATTAATATGCGTTTGGCGGGAGTCGAACCCGGGTCTATTGCTTGGAAGGCAATTATCCTAACCGTTGGACTACAAACGCGACCTGCTGATGGCTAAATTAGACATTTATAATCATAATAAAACAAAAACAACAACATAGATGATAGAAAGATGGATTGGAGCGCATCACGCCTTTACAGTCGATTAGATATCGAAAGCAAAAAAACCTAAGATGCGTTTGCCGGGAGTCGAACCCGGGTCTATTGCTTGGAAGGCAATTATCCTTACCGTTGGACTACAAACGCAACTTACTGATTGATGGTGATTACATTACATGAAAATTAATAATATAAAATAAAAACAAAAATGCGAAAAATAGACATTGGAGTGCAGTACGCTTTTACAGTCGATTAGATATCCGAAGCAAGAAACCAACATGCGTTTGCCGGGAGTCGAACCCGGGTGTATTGCTTGGAAGGCAATTATCCTAACCGTTGGACTACAAACGCGACTTCCTGATGGAGATTTTATTTTACGAGAATTAATAATATAAAACAAAAATAAAAATGCGGAAAAGAGTTATTGCACTGCATTACGCCTTTAAAGTTGATTAGATATCGAAAGCAAGAAACCAACATGCGTTTGCCGGGAGTCGAACCCGGGTCTATTGCTTGGAAGGCAA